GAATAGAATAGAATAGAATAGAATAGAATAGAATAGAATAGAATAGAATTCTTTATTGGCCAAGTGTGATTGGACACACAAGGAATTTGTCTTTGGTGCATAAGCTCTCAGAGTACATAAGAAAAAATAAAATATGTTAATCAAGAATCATAAGATACAACATGTAGTGATAGTCATAGGTTACTAATAAGCAATCAAATCATACTAGGTGACTAAATAAAACAATATAAATCATAGAGATACTAGCAACAAGGTTATAGTCATAAGCGGGAGGAGATAGGTAATAAGAAGGATGAGAGGAATAATAGGAATACAGACTTAGTAAATAGTTTGAGAGTGTTATGGGAATTAGTGGTTTAGCAGAGTGATGGCATTCAGGAAAAAATGTCTTTGTGTCTAGTTGTTCTGGTGTGCAGTGCTCTATAGCATCATTTTGAACTGGTCATAAATCACTTTTATAAGTGGTGTTGTAACTTAAAATGGCAATGAATGATTATAAGTTGAGGATAACCTGTATAGCTAATATCCAAGAGTAGAGAATGTTTCCTTGACATTGGATAGAAAAAAGCAATAGAGTTGACACACACTTCTCTGAAAGTTGAATCACCATTCATATAACTTTTCCTCTGGAAATTTCATGTAAAGGTTGACCATAGGGACAATATAAACTTCTGTTCAACATCAATACCAAGCAGAAGTCTTCAGAATTACTTTCTGCAAAATTCTCTGGCAAAAGGGTCCAGACCTTCTGTAAACAGAGTGTACACAGTTCAATCCTGCTAAATAGACTAGAAAGATACTAAGGACAAAGGAACAGAAAGTTGCCAAAAGATCTAGAACAGCTAGTCGTAGGACCACATTTCCCCATCCCTTCATTTCTAAGCTCCATTTCCAACTGTTAAGGCATTTTCTGTACAATACCCCACTGAAATCTTATTTGAAGTGAATCAAGAAAATAAGTATCAAGCAGATATGGAACTATGAGGCAATCCCTTTTTCAAACACCTTTCCTAGAAACAGAATATTTTGGAATGATATATAATTATATAGTTTTTTCAGACAAACTCTTCTTAAAAACTTCTTTAAAACTTCCAGTGTTGGAGCGTTCACAGCTTCTGGAGGCAAGTTGTTCCACTGATTAATTGTTCTGTCAGGAAATGTCTCCTTAGTTCTAGGTTGCTTCTCTCCTTGATTTGTTTTCACACATTGCTTCTTGTCCTGCTCTAAGATGTTTTGGAGAATAGCTTGACTCCCTCTTCTTTGTGGCAGCCCCTGAGATATTGGAGCACTGCTATCATGTCTCCCCTAGTACTTCTTTTTCATCAAACTAAACATACCCAATTCCAGCAACTATTCTTTATAAGTTTTAGCCTCCAGTCCCCTAACCATCGTTGTTGCTCTTCTGTACACTCTTTCTAGAGTCTCAACATCTTTTTTACGTTGTGGCAACCAAAACTGGATGCAGTATTCCAAGTGTGTCTCAGGTGAAAGGAGAGTTCAAGCATCAGGAAATACACCCCACATGGATCACTCTAACCATAACATCATTTCAAAACACCAACAAGATAGATCCAAAGCTAGTTCTCAGCCTATTAGATAATAAAATTTAAAAAACAGATGTTTGTTTTATAGAGAAGAAGGTTTCTAAGAAATCACAATATTAAAATTGCAGACTACAACATTAATAAAATGTCGCAAGGGTTGGTGTAAGAAAGCACACACTCAGAAGGGAAGAACGTTGATGCCTAACCATATAATCTAAGTTTTAAGGAGGAAGCAATGGGGGAAAATACCTAAAATTGGAATGGGACTCTTCCAAAATGTGTTCTACTATTTAGAAATAACTACACAACCCATGACTCATTGAGTCAACGTTTCAGAGATATGTCTTTATCTAAACAGAGAATCAGAATGACAACGGGTGGACAAAAAAAGCAGAAACTTCCAATTTCCCAATGGCTGGCCAGTAACATCAGAAATTTTCCTTCCTTCCTTCCTTCCTTCCTTCCTTCCTTCCTTCCTTCCTTCCTTCCTTCCTTCCTTCCTTCCTTCCATGAATTCAATGCTACTTTTTTCCTACAGTAATGTTGCATCTTTTAATACTTTGAATGGCCATGTTCACAAAATGCCTCAAAACAATGCCAAACTCTAGCAGATATATCTACAAGCTTTATTAAGCCTAGAACATTGATCAAATCCAGACTTCTGGGTTTGTTTATGGTTCAATGTATCACCTAAGTATGGACCATTTTGTTAAGAAATCTCGAGGGCTGTAAAAGCACTGTGATGAGGTATATAAGTCTAAGCGCTTTTTTCTCTTCTCTTCTCTTCTTTCTAATTCTATTCTATTCTTCTCTTCTCTTCTATTCTTCTATTCTATTCCTGTTCTGTTCTTCTATTCTATTCCTATTCTCTTCTCTTCTATTCTTCTATTCTATTCCTATTCCTATTCTGTTCTTCTATTCTATTCCTATTCTCTTCTCTTCTATTCTTCTATTCTATTCCTATTCTATTCTTCTAGTCTAGTCTATTATTCAATTCCAGTCCTATTCTATTCTTTGATTCTATTCTGTTCTTTGATTCTAGTCTATTCTTCGATTCTATTCTTCTATTCTATTCTATTTTTCTACTCTATTCCTATTCTATTTTTCTGTTCTAGTCTATTCTTCGATTCTGTTCTATTCTTCGATTCTATTCTTCAATTCTATTCTTTCTTATTCTATACTATTATATTCTATACTTCTATTCTATTCTTTCTTATTCTATACTATTCTATTCTTCTATTTTATTCTATTCTTTGATTCTATTCTTCAATTCTATTCTTTCTTATTCTATACTATTCTATTCTATTCTTCCATTCTATTCTATTCCATTCCATTCCATTCCATTCTATTCTATTCTAGTGTGGTAGTTAGAATGCAGGATTTATCTCTTTTTTGTGGCAGCCCCTTCAAGTATTGCAACACTACCATCATGTCACCCCTAGTCCTTTTTTGCACTAGACTAGCTTCCTCTCCTTTGAATGCCATCTCAGACTTTGCATCATATTTCCTTCAAGCACCCTCAAATCCATTCTCCAAATCGTGTAAAGATCTTAATGACCTTATTGTAGGTGGCAAGTTTAAATGTGCCATATTAATAACTTCTTATCCAAGACAAATTAAGTCCTTATGTGTCAAAAGCTCTCGGTGCTGGATTACCTACAAGAGAAGTATTTATTGAATAAATGTTAGATCCAATTTCATTTTAATGTGACTGACAGCAGACTTCGGCCTTTGCAAATGAGATTTAAAAAAACACTCAGATTTGAGCCTGCATTGCAACTTTACACCGAACTTGTCTTTTCCTATTATGGTC